ACCGCCTTGAGATGTTGGGTAAGAATGGCTCGGGCCATACTCTTGGAATGGAGAGTATCCGTCATAGAAATAGGGATTTGAATAGCTCGGACACGGATAGGGTGGCCCTCCATAAGAGTACATCTTCTCTTGGTAGTTGTCGGGGTATCCATGATACGAGCTTCCGGTATAAGAATGGCCGTACGGGTCCATCGGAACTCCTCAAGCGAAACACCTCGCACAAGAAAAACAAAACAACCAAGGCACACGAGACCAAAGAAAACAAAAATGCAACTAACAATACACGATATTTACACAAAACACAAAAAAAAAGAGAAACAGAAAATAAGAAATCAAGAGAAACACTAAAATTAAGCAAATATCGCAAGAGCAAGAGAAATAAGGAAAATAAGATTAACACCAAAACCAAATATCCTACTTGCCTTCCCCGGCAACGGCGCCAAATTTGTTGTAGCAAATTATTTTTATTTTTACCGAGAACCGAATCAAAAGATTCGTTCCATGGGTCGATCTATCAAGGAAGACGGTTTGGAATTTAGCGTTGGTATTGATCAGACACGAAAAGAAAATAAATCCTAAACATTCTAATCACAGTTGATTTGAAAAATTAACTAAAACAAGCCAAAACTAGAAAAAACAATTTAAAGAAATAACAATTAAATTTCTAGAGAAACAGAAGAAGTTCTAGGGGTCGGGAATTCTCATCAAGTCTTAAACTATGTTGAATGATTATTTGTTCGGTTACGAGATTTAACAAGCCTACACGTCTAGAGGGCTATGCTCAATAACTCTTCGTAACAAGAACACATACATAAACAATAAACTCATTCAAACAAGCAACACATAAACAATACGTTTCCGAACATGTCTACTCTATACGAGCCTAAATCGACCAACGCCTCCCCTCTCGGTTCTACACGTTGATTAACTAAGTTAGAATGGTGATCAATCAACTAACCCTATAATTCACACAACTCGCATAGATTGAACAAAACACAATCCTCATAATTCAAAACAAGAATCAAAATCCCTAACCCTAGGTGAATGGATTACCTCATACTTAGATTCAATCTCATGTTAACTGGAATTAAGAACATTAAACCAATCAACAATAATAAAATAGAATTGAAAAACTTACAACCGTATTAAGACTTTCAAGATTTCAATCCAAATATATTTGTGTCCAACAATCCAAGCATGAGTGAAAATAAAAAGAAAAGCAGAGAAAATTATCCTAACACTATTAAGTTTTTGGAGAGAAAACTTGAAAGGAACGATATTGGAGATTGTTCCTTAGGTCCGGAGGTTCGTTTTGATATATAGTGTGCGAAAAACGGAGCTAAAACGAGTAAAAACGAGCAAAAATAAAAACAGGGGTCGACAGGGTCGCGACTCGCGAGTTGACTCGCGAGTCGCGAGTTGGACGGGTTGCTACGCTGCTGAGGCTCTGTTGAAGTCGCGAGTCGCGACTTTTCTCTGGCGAGTCGTGACTAAAACTCGCGACTCGCGACTTTGTGCTAGCGACTCGCGAGATTCTGGGCTGCACTGCGCCAATTTGCGTTTTCGCCTCGTTTGAGCTCGTCCGAACTCGGAATTGAGTTTCGTTTTTTCCTATGCGTCGCTAACGAACCCCTCTATCCAGTTATGCTCTCGAAACCAACTTTTCCTGAAGAGAAAATTCGCCCGAATCTTTCGACCTACACACCAAAAACGACAAAACACAAAAGAAAACCAGAAAAACAAACAAAAAACACCTAATGACTCAACATGAAGGAAAACACATAATAAAACACGAAACGGACTAAAAACTAAAGAAACAACCTAAAACGGGGGAAAAAAAAGTAAAATAAACACGAAAAACGCAACAAAAATGGGACAGACACATACCCTAAAAGTAAGATTGAGGGTTTGAATAACGTGACATATCAAAAATTGAAAAAGTAGGTTTAAGGAGTTTGATTGTTAAAGATGCGCTTATAGCATCCACAGTGTTATAGGTCTAATTTGCTTAGTTGTCAATATAATAGATTTGAGTGTTAAATGATGTGGATAAATAACAAAAAAAGTAGATCATATATACTCCAATGCATTTTTTTTTATTTTTTTTTTATATAACTTGGTGTCTAAAATCATGTGGAACAAAATAATTATGAGTACTTATTAAAGTAATAATTCAAATTGAGTTTGAAATGATGTAAGAACCAAAAATCACGAGTTATATATTAAAATAATTTTTGAAAGAAAAAACACTTTCGTTCTAGACTCGAATCTCAAAATGGACTCAAGTGGAGACGTATTCTACTTTTTCAATTGGCACATCATCTAAATTTAGTGCTTCTTTGTTTGTATTGGAGACCACTTTTTATACAAATGATCTAAAATCTTAGGTGGCACTGGGAGATGCGAATTGCCCATCCCAATATGAAATATTTATTTTATTTTAATTTATTTATTTATTATGTATTATCTACAACCGATTTTCATTATTATTTTAGTAGTGACAAATTAATTAAAAAAATTTATAATAAATCTCACTTTTTTAAATAAAATATAATTATAAATCTCAATGAAAATATAATTATAAGTCCCCAACATTGGAGATGTGTATAATTACATAATAAAATATTGCATACAAAATTAATCTCAAATATAATTTTTTTTTCTTTAGATAATTTTTTCATATTTTCTCCACCTTACAAATTACATGACAAAAATTAAATAGTAGTTATTGTTAGTGAAATTAGTAATTTCTTACATATTTTATGTTATTCTCTTAATGGTTTGTTTAAATTATTCTCTTCTTGCTAGATTAAATTTTCTCTTCTTGCTTGAATGTGAAAAATATTATTTTATGATTGCACAATATTATGTTAGTGATAGTCAATAAAAGGTTAAGTGAATTCAACTCATTTTCATACGAGTTTTGATTTACGTTTTTTAAATATAAAATAAAAACTAGTACTTTCTAATAAAAAAATCCACATAATTATAACTGATTATTATGTACTCTACTAAATTTAAGTTACTTAATTAAGTAAAAAAAAGTTTGGAGGTTTAATTGTTTATTATTTTCTTCGAATGAAAATGATTTTATCCTTTCTTTTTATTTGTGATTCTTAACTAAAATTATATTTATAAAATTAAGTTATATTTTTATTTTAAATTTTACTATTTTTTTATTATGACGAGTTACATTATTTTTTAATTATATTTAGAAAATAACATAATTATTATCAATTCTCAAAACTATTTTTATACTAATCCATATATCAATTCTCAAAACTATTTTTATAATTATTGGCCCGCACATCGTCGGGCTACATACTAGTTATGGCATTAAGTTAAGGTAAATTATGTAGTAATTGTATAATTTTTTTGAATTAAAAATAATATTTTCAATTCACTAAAAAAAATTGTCTGATGTAATTATCATAACTCATAAGTAATCAACATATTTATAATTTTAGCAATTATGCGACAACATTCACATTCACAAAACCAATGCTATAAATTGCCACTTAAAACCCAAATAGACCTAATACGAGTCACAAAACCAGTACAAATTTATTGCACCTAATTCACCTAATTCTAAATACAAAATCTGATAAGAGTTATATCTATAGTACATCATGTGGCACCCTATTTAGTAAATATGCGGACCACATATCATTTATCATTTACATAATTGCAAATTGATCAATACTCTGCCTCAATAAAAACTGAACACCAACAATTTTCCCATCCAAATACATGTCCAATGTAAAATAAAAGGCAAAAATTTAATTTTAATCATCTAAATCGATCATTGTCCAGTTTTGGTATATCAACTTTCCTCTCATAAAAAATAGTCCACTATGTTACAGTTTCGTCAATTTTAGTACAATAATTTCAAGGGGCCGGATTACGTGATGACGTGGATTGAGATTGAAACGACGTGGATGGATAGGACTTTGACATGAAAAGATTACAATTTTCCACGTCATCGCGTAATTCGGCCCTCGAGATTACTGTACTAAAATTGACAAAAATTATTACATAATAGACTATTTTTTACGAGAGGAAAATTAGTGTACCAAAACTGGACAATGACCAACTTACATGACCGAAATTGGATTTTTGCCTAAATTAAAACTAATAACAAAATTGCCTAAAGAAATACCAAAAAAAAAAAGAGAAATTGGAAAATAAAATTCATTGGTTTTTTTATTAGATTGTGATGGATATTATGAGACCTATCATATGATTATTTTCTTTTTTTTTTTAAGTACAGGGACCTTCCGTTTTCCGGATCCACAGGAGAACCGACTAATCCGGAATCGAGCCGGATAGGACCACAAGGACGGCAGAGCTCTCCCTCAAGAAATCATATGAAATAATCATAATAATCATATGATTATTTTCTAACTCCCACACAAACACAATGTGCAACAAATCCAATGATTTTTTTATTCAAGTTTCAACCCTACCCCCCCCCCCCTACCCACCTACCCACCCCCCACACCACATCAAAAGCAAAAAGAATCCAGCAAAGAGGTTCAAGTTGGCACTACACACTAAAATAAAAGTAGGGGTTTTTGCCCTTTTGCAGTCATTTTTTCTACTGCCCTTCACCACTACCATAGAGAGAGAGAGCTCCCAACAAGAAGGGAACCAACACAAAAACCTGCAACACCCTCTTCAATCCATCCATCTTTATCCAGCCTACAAAACAAAGGAATACCCATCTTCCCTGGTAAGCCAAACAGTCCCTAACCCCATGTGGATGTGCCCTCTGTTGATGTTGTATCTCCATCTTTGTGTGTTTATGTACAGCTGTTGTTGATGAGGGTTCATGTTAAAACGAAGAGTCTTTCGACCCATTTTTCTCTATCGATTTCTTTGTTTGTTTGAAAAATTTTTACAGGAACAAAGTTGTATCATTTGGATCCATGTTTAACAGCTGTAAAGGTTCTTTCTTGCAGGTGTATACGCTGTATAAGTATAAACCTTAACTGGGTTTTATGGATAGGAGAACCCCACCTGGGAATTTTTTCCAGTATGCTCCAACTGGAGGCAATGGTTCACTCCCACTCCAGCGGTGTACTTCACTCTCAGTCTCAGATCGTGAAAGGCAATTCCTCTTAAAGATTGTTCTTTTATATGAATATGTGTGTGTGTGTGTGTGTGTGTGTGTGTGTGTGTGTGTGTGCATGTGTTTCAGTTCTTGAATTATTTTGTATCAATTGGATTCTTTGGATCTTTAATATCAGTTATATGAGTGCTCTAATTTGAATCTGAGTTGTTAATGTTGTGTGGTAACACTGTTCACATTTTTCGTGGCATTCTTGAAGTTGGCTTTGCTCGTCTCTGGTTCGTCTGTAACTGGTAAATTGATTAACGGGTGTGTGGGATAAGTTGCATAATTTAGTGTGTATGCGAAGATTTGTCTGTGTATGTCGTTGGCTGGTGGTGGGTGATGATCAAGGTTTCAACATGAATCACCCAATATCTTATCATTGTCATACTATGGCTTGCGTTCAAATATGGCATATTATTAATTGTTATGAGATTCACATTTAATCTTTGTGCTGCTTTGTTAGATTCTTATTTTCCAATATCGATTCGCCGTTTCTGATTTAATTAGAACATTTCCAAAATCTGACACGTGCTCGGTTGAAAATAAAAATGCTTTTTGGATTGTGGTAACGTCTTTATTGACAGATGATTGAAATTAAACAATATACGCTTAACGTCATGCGGAAAATTTCCTTATGCTCGGCGAGTTACTCATTAGGAATTTCCTGCTGTTAGTGAATATGATTACTCCTAAATTTTGATTTGCTATGTTTTGATGCTTGCAGATACTTGGCAGACCTATTGGCAGAGAGAAACAAACTAGGGCCATTTGTACAGATTCTGCCAGTTTGTAACAGACTTCTTAATCAAGGTATAGCAGTTAATGCTCCTTGTACAGTTGCCAGCTTGTGTAATTTATTGTCTACAGAATTTTTGTCTTGGTGTTGTAATATTTCATTGTTTTAAGTTGTATGGTATGACAAAGGTGCTTGTGTATTTTTGTGTGATATAATTCTTGGTCTGTAATTAATCGATCAACTTAATCACAATAATTCTTTCAGATCACGAGATTCTTTTTTCAATTTTGGTTGCTTTGAGATTATGACGGGTTCAAGATAGTTACTATAAGATATTTAACTCTACCTTCGAACAACATGAAAAATGTGTATTCCATCGATAAGATTTGTTAGATTGCACAAATAGCGTTGATTTTGGTAAATAATGGAAGTGATCTTATTCTTAAACTCAGGAACTCATTATACAAAACCTGTAATTATAGCATAACTTTTTCAATTTAACTTGTTCTGAAACAATCATGATTCAACTTCTGCAGAAATACAACTCTCTCTAACGGGAAAAGGATACAAAACAAATGATCTATCAGGAGTTAACCTGACAATGATATTTCTATATATTATTTTCTTGCTTAGGTGTCTGTTACGTCTGTTTGTGGAAAGATAACAATTAGCTTAAATTTACGGAATTTGAATTAATGCAAGCATGGCATCCTGATTATTGCGCTAGTGTAAGATTTTTGAGATTATGATGATACAATAATTGGCTGCTGTCTCGTCAACTAGATGATTTGGGGACATCAATGGTTAATCCTGGTGTTCTCGCTAAAATCACAAGTTAAATTGAGACTCAAGTTTCTGTCATTCGTAAAATGAATAGATTAAATACTGCCAACTCATTGTTATTATTTACACCTCGCTTATTTATCCGATTGCCATCTCTGTTGTTCCTTCTTACTATAAGCTCCTTTTATTTTTTCAAATATTTTTTTTATCGATATTCTATTTCTATGTCTATTTGCTCAACCCAATAAAAAATTGTTTTTACTTCGCAGAGATCATTAGAGTATCTGGGTTGATATCGAATCATGTTGCAGAACTCGAAAGATTGGGACATGGCCATATGTACCGATCAATGGGTGAACCCCTTAATGGAGGACGTATGAATATGCCGGCATGGAATGTCATGCGAGCTGAGGTCAGTGGCAGTGCATAAATGTCATCCTAATAATCTTGAAACTGTATATGTTTATTTTGTTGCTTTTATTTAAAAAAAAAAATGCCTTGGTAATAGTAGATTGTTTCAAGCACGCCATTTGTTAGATTTTTCCATTGCCTTAAGATGAAGCACAAAACTATATTCTATTGTGATTTTACGAAATTACTTTCTCACTAAGCACAACTCCCTGCATGAATACATATATTTCCAAAATACTGAAATAAATGAATTATTCATAATTAGGCCGAAAAGTAATCTCCATTTGGATTGTTGCAGTCGTATTTGCATCAATAACACCTGGTAGGCTACATGGTTATTTCTAGAAAGATGATCATGTGCAAAATTATATAAATTTATCAGGAGGATAAGCTCCGACAGAAAATGGCTCCATTTCATCCATCCCCTTTAAACTGGCACGTGGTCCCAGGGACACCTACTGCCCCAGTCATTAAGAGGGTTATCCGACTAGACATTCCCGTGGAGAAGTATCCAAATGTACGTACTCTTTTTTTTTTTTTTTTAATTAAAGTAGATTACCTAGCATCATTTACGAGTTTTCAGTTCTCATGTTGTGCTGAAAGAGCCATGACTACTGACCAAAATCCTTTACAGTATAATTTTGTAGGTAGAATTCTAGGACCTCGCGGGAACTCACTTAAAAGAGTTGAGGCCATGACAGAGTGTCGAATTTATATAAGGGGTCAGGGGTCTGTGAAGGATTCGATTAAGGTATAGATGTGCTTTACTTTCACTAAAAAATCCAATGTACTATGATGAAGGATGAGAACAAAATTACCTCCGAAATTTAGCCTAATTCCAAAATATAATATAATAATAAAAAAAAATGTGTTTCTCTACAAATACAAACCCCTCAATAGGTGAACTTCGTGAAATAAGGTATACCTTTTCCAATATATATTGGGATATTGATTTGCATCTGCATAACAAATGTTTAGATTTCTCACGACATCTTGTATTTTGTCCATACAGGAAGAGAAGCTGAGAGATAAACCTGGATACGAGCACTTAAATGAGCCTCTCCATCTCTTGGTAGAGGCCGAGTTTCCCGAGGATATAATTGACGTGCGTTTGGATCATGCAATGGCAATACTTGAGAACCTTCTAAAACCTGTGGTATGTATGCAACGTGAACTTTATGCGTTTCCTTTTACCGTTTACTCCATTATGTAGTATGTTTAGCAAGAAAAACTTCGTCCGAGATCGAGTCTAATTATATGAAATAAATATATATAAAAATCTAGCGATCTTTTCAAGTTGCAAGTAAAGCCCCTTGATTCTTTTTTTGGGTTTATTTCACAAATTACCTTTCTCAACTAGTACAGTTTCTAAATTGTAGATTACAAACATATGTTAAGTGGTATTTTAAGTGATAAATTTATATTTTCTTTAAAGGGAAAAGGAAAAGGAAAAGAAACTCCTTTGTACTTTTTGCTAATTATTCTTTTTTTTTTTATATATATAAATTACAGATGCCTTGTATAGTCTTCATTTTTGCCCTAGTACTAAGGGAAAAATTGTGAGATGGAACTACGTAAATTGGATTTTTGTCGCTTCTAAGTCGTTATTTTATTCATTTATTTATTTTTAATTGGCCTAATCTCAAGGGGTTCTCGTTGTAGTCCTATTTGATAATTTGCACTTGTCTACACATAAATATGGGCCATTTTTATGCTTACTTCTCAGGACGAGTCCATGGACGTTTACAAGAAGCAGCAGCTAAGGGAGTTGGCCATGTTAAATGGCACTTTCAGGGAAGAAAGCCCGAGCATGAGCCCAAGTATGAGCCCCAGCATGTCCCCCTTTAATAGCACTGCCATCAAACGAGCTAAAACGGGAAGATAAATATCTCCTTTCATTATATAACAAATTTAGAAAGAAAAAAAAAAGGTTGTGATTTCGTGCTTTTAGTGAATCCTTTAATACATGATGCTCGACTTCAAGTTGAATCAAATGCACATCCCTTCAACCAAGATGATGGCAATCGAGCTAACGAAGTTTATCGCATTTTTGCTTTAGGAAGTAACTTTTGGCCGCTGCTACTTATTTAGCTGCAATAATGTTGATTTTTGTGCCTCACTCTTTTTGGTTAGTTACAAAAGGCTGTAGTACTCATACAATTCACATATACATTTGTTTTTTTTTTCTTGGTCAGGTCATCATGTATGCTTAAATTTTGTAAGAGGATGGTTGTGAAATTTTTGGTTACAAGACCATTAGGTTGCAATCTATTATTAGTTTGTGTTGTAAAACTGTGAGTTTTTATCATTTATGATTGAATAAAGTGATGATGAACTGATGCTTGCTTGCAAAGTTGCATTTTTAACCTTTTTAATGACGGAATGGTCCCGTTACGGAACCATTCCGTCGGGATTTTTGTAACCGTTACAATCATCTTGTGACCGTCGTGGACAGTTGATCTAACGGCTACAAATTCCGACGGAATGGTTCCGTAACAGCACTGTCTCCCTCTTATACTTTTTACATTTCAGTTGACTGTGTTTACTTGTGACATTCAAATCATATTTCCTTTAGTGTTAGTACTTATATTTCATAATATTATTTGGACTTTCATCACATCTCCCAAACATTACAAATATTTCATAATATTATTTGGACTTTAATCACATCTCCCAAGCCTTAAAATTCTTGTGTGGGACAGTCTAACTGTTAGGCGGGTCGACGCGTCATATTTTTTCGACCAAAAATTCATACTTGTGTTGAGAAATGTCGTGTTTTTATTTTTTATTATTTTTTATAGTACGACATTTTAGTTTGTAAGTATGAATCCGATGAACAAAGATTAAAGAGCACTATTCAAGTGAAACAAAAAACCACAGGAAAACCACCAGCAAAATTAAAAAAAAATATATATATATTACTATTATTATATAGTTTCAATAAATAAATAAAAAAGAAAGTATTATTCACTCTGGATGTCACCCACTACAAATCACTCAACTCAATATTATAATATTTTACAGGACATGAAATTTAATCATTAAGTTATCTTATGTTAATCACAATCTTAAATTTATCTTTTTTTCAATATAAAAACATTTTTTTTTTTCTTTTAAACTCAATATTCAGGTGAAACAAAATTATTCCAAAAAGTATCTTATATTCAATCACAACATAAACTATCATAAGTTAACGCTGTAGACAAGATACCCATGTTGATATTATATCATAATTTTATCTTGAGGATAACAAATAAGTGACAAAAATTGTAATAATAAATTTAATATGATCTTTGGACATAAAAAAATATTTATAGAAAAAAAAAGTTTTACAAATATTATGGAATAATTGAACAAAGCAAAATCTCATAAGTTCTAATATAACGCCATCGAATCATTCTCTTCAATTGTGTTCAACTTCAATACAAAGGCACCATTAAAGTCGCAATCAAATCAAAGCAAAACGATAATGAATTCATATTTTTTGTTTTCAAAAACAAAGAGAAAAAAGCTCAGACAGAGACATAATAACACAACTAAAATCCTCAACAAGGAACAACATTCTCAACCCCACCAGCCCTCAATTTGCCGCCTCATGCACTTGGTGCATTATTCTGCTGAAAAGCTGCCTGATCGCCACCTACGGGAGGAGGAGCCGAGTGAGGCTGCACCCTATTCTGGTAAGCCTGAGGATACTGCTGATTATTACCCGGTAGGGGTGGCGGTTGAACATAACCATGGGGCGGATAATAATGCGGGTAGAAATGCCCCGGAGGCGGGTATCCATACTGCTGGCTTTGTCCGGGCCCACCAACTGAGCTCTGGCCCAAGCCCGATGGCCCACCCGGCGGGCCCCCATCTTGACCCGGCACGAGAGCCCCCATCCTCTGTGGGTCCATTGATGGGTAATAAGCCCTGTCCTGCTGAGGCATCAAAGGCGGGATATTGAAATACGGAACAGGTGGGGGATGTGGGCTGGGCCCACTGGGCGGAAGGTTCTGCTGCTGTGATATGACAGCCCGTGGTAAAAGCCCGCTGTGCGCCACAGACGATTGCTGCTGCTGCTGCTGCTGCCCTGATTCACCAGATGGGCCCTCGAGTTCGGGCCTCTGGGACTGAGGGCGTCCCCAGAGGAGCTTGAGCCGTAAGCCCTTGATAACAAGCTTGTTCGAGAGCTCCTCGGCTGCTTTCTCAGCGCCTTCTCGGGTGGTGTAGGTGACAAAGGCGCAGGCCCGCTGGAGGACGATCTTCACCGACTCGATCTCGCCGTGGGCATAGAAGCTGTCACGAAGGTCTTGCTCGGTTATCCTTGCGTCGAGACCACCCACGTACAGGGTTTTTATGCTCTCGTCCTCGGGAGGTTCTAAAGAAGGCATCTCTCCAGCCTTGTTCAGAAGTTTCAAAGCAACTGGGTCATTCACTCTGCAAAAAGCATTCAACATTTTTGAATTTTTATCAAATAAATAAATAAATAAGCGAGGTTGCAGAGCAGACACTATACATTTGTAGATGAACATAACTAATTCCAGTAACCATACATCACTAGCAGCCAACTGAAAACCAACTATATTAACAATTTTTTATCAATTTTAAAGCATCGATAAAATGAACACCCAAGACATTATGACGTGAGGAAATGCTTGAATTAGAAGATTGTCTTCGTACATACCCATAGTAGCGGTCTTTGATATTTTGCTGAGACAATTCACCTTCAACAGGCATCTCGTGCCTGTAAGGGCACTCTGGGCCTCTTGTACATTGACCTCGAACATAAAAACTGCAAACATGAGCTCGGTTTCTCTGGTAGTATGGTTTAGTTCTTTGGAGCTTCATAATGGTATCGTTTGGACGCACCTTTCCATAAGAAGATTCATAATCTATCCCAGCTCTAGCCTGCATATAATTCAAATGTATATATCAAGAGGAGAGGATGACAAGTATGGACTACAATTGGACGGGCAAAGCAGAACACAAAGATGCATGAGAGCGTTACTTAAAGATGGGAATAGAACCATATCTCCGGAAATAGAGCCCAACAATCAAGTCACTTAAACTCTGATAACCTGCGAATCGGGCATCAGTATCTATGCTCGGGAAAACGTTCATTACATTATTTTTGGTTGGTGTAATTAACATGGCGATACTGAAATCTGTAAGTTCTATGATTTGAGGACAGTACAAACTGCAAATGAAACCATGAGCAACGGAAGGTATCTCTAATCACAAAAGAAAAAAACCAATAACAACAAACATCCAGCACATACTAACGTTAGTACATGTTACCAAACCTGACTCCTAACCGAGTCCAACACCAGTTCAGGCAGAGTATAGCAAATAGACTCACTTTGATGGGCAACAATTGGTGAAAAACAAGTCCAATTAAACTACATGTATAAATAGATATAAGGAACATGACTGAAAATGATCATCAACGTGACTAGGAAGATGGCTGCTGTTGGAAAAACTTGCAAGAGAAATATAACCCCGAAAGAAAAACATACCCTGCGATCATGCTCCTCTGCAAAGTACTCCCTATTCACATCGCTTTTTGGAATGGCATCATTGGAATTGATACTCAGAGCAGTATCCCGAACCTGAACAGGGAGCCCATACTCAAGATCCAACAGGCAAACTTGACATACATTTTTCAGCTTACTGCAAGTCTGGCAGATCTCAGTCTTCTTATATCTTGCATCACGGCCAGGCCTCCACCTGAACACGGTGAAGGGCCTAGTACAGATCTTGCACTCCTTATCATAATCAGCTTTTGTCTGGACCATAATTAAGGACCTTTTATAATCAGAACATACACAATAAAATAAATGTCTTTGCAATACAACATTTGAGAGCCAGTTTACATCTCAGACCGCAGCCATTTTCAAATAAAAATTCATGTTTAAAGAAAATAAAATAAGGGTGGGCACACCCGTCACAAGTAGATTTCGACACAACCATTCTACGTCTTCATTAAAACAATGTACACAACAATGACCACAAACCCTAAAGAGGTGAAATTCACAAACATCATCATTACATCACCCACTGATTATGTCTCCAACCTCAAGATTCATTTTTTATTAGCAGAAGTATTCAATCAAACAGCTACAGCACATGAAATGACTGGAAGCATCAACTCTTAAGTTACCATTCGAACATAAGGATTGTCGCCAAGGCACGATTCGCATATGATAGGGAAGTCAGAACGCTCCCACCCATCAGCTTCTGCGTCCCTCAGCAGCCTATGAGCCATTTTTATCCTGAACCCAAAATTTCTTCGATTTTACGCTGCAATAGTAAAAGATCAAACCACGGGTAAAACTAGAAGTATGCAGGTAGAGACAAAGAACCAATTTCGCTTACCAACAAAAAACCCTAATATGTCAAGTTCTAGGTCACTTTGCTGGACCAGATACCTTGCGGCTTTTTCTCCCAAGCAAGAAAGATAAGAACGAGAGCTTCCAACTAATAAAAAGGCCGTGGTTTTAGATCTGGAGAGCGAGGAGCACTTGCAGTTTACGGCGGCGGTGGAAAGAGAAGCGTCGACGGAGGGGCGGGCGTAGATATTCGCAGAAGTAACGAGACAATTATATGAATCCCGCTAATGGTAACATTTTAGAACATCTCCAATACTTTGATTTACACTAAGCTATATATATGATAGAGAAATAATAATAAAAAAATAATAATTGTAAAAATCATAACATAACCATTAGAAAAAAAAAAA